CCTTGTCAAAAAAGTTTTGCTTGATTATTGTTGATATAAAATGATTTGTCATTCTTTGGGATGGTGGATTTGTTCTTCAAACAATAATTAGGCATCTCTTCATTGATGGGATAATTAATGATCTTTTATGATAGTTAGTTGTTCTCTTTAATGGCTTTTGACTTTTCGCAAAACCACATGTTCTTTATGGTTTGCTTTGGATTGGACTCTTGGGTTTGACACATCAATAGGATGTTGGTGATGCTTGCTTAAGCAACTTTGGTTCCTTAGTATTATTGATCAGGATTTATTCAAATTGACTAGTGTGATAGTTGGCATGAATGAGTGTTTGTTAGTCTTACCACATTCATTCTACTTTGTTGATTGTTGCTATAATTAGTTCTAATAGATTGGATGTTCTTTCTTTCAGGTCATACATTCATGAGCATTTTTCTTGCCAATTGGTGATACTTTGTGTTCTTTGAGTTGTCTTTTATAAGTTGTTTAACATGTTATCTACAATCTTTGCTAGTTAAGTTTTATCATTGAGTTTTCTTGATGATATCTTTGCTATTGAATTTTGTTGGATGGGGAATCTTATATTTTCCAACGATAGTGATCTTGGTAGTTCCTAGACTCTAATACTGGTTTATCGGATGATAACTTACTTGAAATACTTTTGTGTTCTAATCTAAAATATATTCATTGATAATTAAATCTCTAATATATCATTGTCTATGACTTTGATATTGTCCATTTATTGATCTTTGAGTTTAGGCTAGTATAGGTAGACTGGCTTTAGCACTTCATGTGCATGGTGAAATCTCTAGTTATAAGGTAGCTACTGTCGATAGGTCACATAACCCGCCTCTCTGTTGATGTTCTTTATTCTGTTTGAAAAAGGGCGTGACCGTGTAAACAACTCTAACTACCTGTTTACAGTAGTTTATCCAAACCTTACCGACAGGTTTAGTTTCTTTACTCATGAGGGTTGGGGCCTCTGGCTTCTCTCTCTATGTCCCTGCGAGTAGGGGCGTATCACACTTTTGTAAGCTGGGTGACATCCAAAGTAGCAAAGGTGGCTGACTTCGTTGGTCATTTCCTTATCAGCGATGGCCGGAACGTGTTTGAGCTAGTAGCGCATCTGCATTAGACAAAGAGGTTGCCTCCTAACTCATTTAAGTTGGTGCATTTCTCACATAGTGTGAATACCACGAACTTTTTCTAGAGTTGTTTCCTTGGCGGTATTTTAGACTCGAGTATGCATCGACAAGGACGTTGATCCCTAGGGGGGGAGTGTGTTGCGATTGTGACTTCGGGTATCAAAAGTTACATGTCGGCCAGTCCTTACGGACACTCTTTCCTTATTGCCACGACGGCAGGAGGTCAGTATTGCTGGACCCTTTATCAGTCCTCTTGTTCAAGTGTTAATAAACTGGGCTTAGCATTTGTACTTAGCCAGATGGATATAAGGTGGGAACTCCTATGTGTTTTTAGCTGAGCATACTCGGTCTGACTCTTAGTTCTCTTTTGCTTTGTCTTGCATTGGCTTGGCAAAAATCCTCGCATATTAAGACTAGTCCCTCAATATCGTTGAATAATAACTTACCATGTCTACCAAACACCCTCGCTATCATGCCTTTTGTGTTAGTCTCATTTTAGTTTCAAATGCTATTTATGGAAAGTGTCCGGCATATCTATGGAAAATAGAGATTGACCTGAACATAATGGTGTTCGTCCCGTGTCCAAATTTGCAATCTAGGGACATTCCATATTTAGTAAGTTTCGAGTTTGTCCCAAATACTAACTCCTGATACTAAGGGAGGCTTGGGGTGAAAGCCCAAAGCGTGTGTTCCTCACGGAAGGGTGCGGGGTTGGGGGTTAAGGGTTTGGGGGGGGGAGGCTGTGGGGGGTTTTAAATGTATCTAAATGTATAGTAGGGATAGTGGGTAGGTCTGGCATGACTGATATATTTTCTAATAAATCATCACATCTTCATCAATTCATCATCTCTCTCATTGCTCTGGAGATAATAATCAGCGACATTATAAACTACAAAAGTGAAGTTCATGAATAAGAAAATGAATGGACTTACCAAAGAATCATAAATCGTAAACAAGGATTGAGCTACTTGATCTACACTCTTTGCCATCTGACTATCCATAGCCAAAGTATACTCCATGAATTCTTCTTTCTTCAGATTATGATGACAAAATTCCTTTTGGCTTTCTTCCATTGTATCAATGAGGCTCACATTGTTGTCGCACAACATTCTTGCAAGTTGTTCTACAAGTTGTGTGCAGGACTTCTTCCTCAGCTGGCCTGAACTAAGCTTTTCAGGATCATTGTTGTTTTCTATCATTGCCAGAAATGATTATGAACAAAAATTACAAAACATATCTTTAGGCTTTGATTGTCCACATAGAAGTGATGGTGATTGTTGTGGTGAAGCTCCTAGTGTTGGTAATGGTGATCACTAAGATGTAGGTGGTGAAGACATTGATTCCTAAGTTTGTCCTTGTGAATTTACAATTTGATGATCCTGAAGCCACTTGTCCATCGTTGTATAGATTTGATCATATAACTCTGGTGGTAAATCAGCTTCATAACGTTGTTCTATTGTCATGTTCCAGTAATTGCTTCTACCAATAGGAACATGATATTTATATATGAGTAATGCTTTTTCTGGCTATAATCATATTCTTGCCCCTACTTGCAAAATAGTGACAAACAAACAGATACAAGAATGTAGAGAAGAAGAATGAAAAAAGAATAAAAGAGAATTCAGCCTCGAACCCCAAAAGTGTAAGTAAGGATAAGCATATTCACTTTCTCAACTCTACTTTGCAGAAACAATCATAAATGGGAGAAAAAATAATTAATTCAATATAAATACATACAATAATGAGTGGGGCTTATTTTTTAACATATGCTACTTATATATACTACAGTTTCTAATTGTTTCATGCTTGTCTATAATGAATATTGTCTAGGTCAAGTCTTTCTTCTTTGGATGCCTAAGTTTAAACATAACTTCATTTCACCTAAGCTTTCTTCTTTTGTTCTGCCTGGGAAAATACATAAGATAAAACATTTACCTTTTCATCAATATAACTTGATTTTGTTGAAATCTTTGTAAATATACTCCTACCAAGATTAGCATTGCCTAGGCAAATGGTTGACATGATGTGTCAAACAGTAGCTACAAACTTAGTGAATGATTGGAAGGTTTGAAAAATCCATAACTTACTTGGAGACTTACTAACAATGAACAATTGGAGTCTTTTGCCTCTCTTGAATGTTGCCTCGCTGCTGTAAAAAGAAATTGTGCTTCTTTGCTTCATTCAAAACTAACAATTCATTCAAATACCAATGCCCCCGATTTCCAACTGGTTTCAGAGGCTTCGATGGAGTGGGAGTAGTAAAATTCCCCTTGCTAAATTGAGAACCATCATATAGAAATTTTGGCTAATATTGAGTGGAGAACATGATCTCTAAGTTGTTCAGCTACTGCTCTCCCATTCCACACAACCCTAAAACCAAGAATTGACACATCAGAAATAGTGGAGAACATATCAACATTTTAACCTATTATTGCAGGTTTGACAGTGGTCAACTAGCTGGGCTGGTTTTGAAAAACATTCAAGTTGAGTTCACCGTCGCAAGGCCATTGTCAAAAACATGATGGTGACAATGACATGTACTAAGGCAACATCATTTCAAATTGCTGATGTAGTTGTCACAATTTGATTGTGACGGTCACATGTGCAACGTCTATTAGTCAATGAATACAATAAGTGTGTTCTTGTGCTTGGTTCTTTGTGCATTGAGCTCTAAGCTCCGCCTTTCTTTTTGAAGAATGAGACTCTTCCTCTCAAAAACACCTCCACAGAAATCAAGCTCAAACTCGAAACACAGCACATGGAAATTGATAGGAGTGGATGCAAATGAAGCCGAGGACCATGAAGAAATTTTCTCTAGAAACAGCCCTCACAAAAAACACAAAGCAAAATGCTCAATTCTATCGACAATGGCAAGTGCTTACTTGTGTGTAGAGCCTCAAAAATCTCATTCTAGAGCTTGATAGAAAACTCTTTATTATGCCATCTATAGCCCCATGTAGAAAAGGATTAAAATTTTCATCCCAGAAAATGGCAAAAAGCTCCAAAAAGCCCCACACTCAAAATAAAAAAGCGCAAGAGAAGAATCACTCAAAAGTGCTCTAGACTTCACCGAATCACACATGCAAACCCTCTAGAGAAAAACCCTGAATAGATCTACTGGATAAGCTCAAGGAAGATTAAAATAGTGATGAATCCAACTCGTGCCATGCTTCTAAAGTTGCTACTGTGTGAGCTGAAGGCTGTATATGCAAGTTCTTGCTCCAAATTGAAAAATTATTGATGCTAGAATGGGTATCTTAACAAGATCTACAAGCCCACAATCACCATTTCTCAAACTAAACTAGCCACTAAGAGAAGAAAACCTCTTTTCTGTCTAAGAGAAAGAAAACTCTAAAAATCCCAGGATTTCACAGACAGCACCAGGAATTGCATGGCTGGGTAAACTCATCCCACTCCATCACCCGAGCACAGATCCCCTAAGAATTTCCCAAGCTAAAACCAAGAAAAACTAAGAAAAATCTGGGGAGGACTGGCTAGGAATCAATCCTCCCCACAGATGTTGAGGAGTGGGGAGATGTGTTTTCCCTTAAAACCCTAGCCAATATCCTCATGCCCTAGAATATTCCGACAGTGGAATATTCCAAGGAATCTCGCTCTTGCATGAACAGATGAGCAAACCAATACCATGATTGAAACCCAGTATCAATTGAATGAGAATATGTATATTACATATACATGTATACAAATATGTTTACATATATATTAAACAAAATTCAGAATTTGATGCTATGATCAACCATATGATCTATTGCACTGTGAAATTATGAATGACTTTGTCCTGAAAAAATAAACATAATGCTAAAAATAGATTCTATACCCTAAATCGTGGCCCGGAATCCTTGCCGTCCATAAACAGGCGATCTAGGCATCCAGGCTAGGCGCCATGTGCGACGAGAACCCTCCAGGTAATAGGTCAGGGCTAGTGAGGCCGATTGCACTACAATCTGGTTCCGATTGGGATGATGGGGTCCTGCGGTCTTTCAACATTACGGTCACAAAGGAGAGTTCCTTCAGAGATTTCTTCGGGGTAGACATGCCGGTTGAATTCAGCAATCCTGATGTCGCGGAGCTCGTGAGTTTGGATCTGCAAGAGTACACCTTCGGAAAGCTGAAACTTTCGTCCATCAGATCTCGGTATGTGAAAACCCTGGTTAAACGTGTCTTCGCAGTGACCAGAACACACCGGCATGAAGAATCGGCAGTGGATGACATGTCCCTGACGCTTCTGGAGCTTTTTCAGTACGAGAACGATGACACAGCAGTACGTAGCAGAACCATTCTCGATCTTTTCATGTCGAGGGGCAAAACGCAAGCACTTCCTGACGTCGTTGTGGAGCGGCTGGACACTGCAGTGAAAATGCTGGTTCAGGAGGACAAAAGTTATGAAAACTTGAAAGGTCACCATCCAGAAGCCCAGCTGATTGCCGAGGCAATTGCCGCTTATCAGGAGAATTCGAGGCTTTACGAAAGGCTGTCGATGGGCGAATATCCTGATCAACAGATAGTTCCTGGTATAGTTATGTTAGGTACGTATTCGAGCGCTTTATCTGTTTTTTGAGGGATAACAGTTTCGATTTCAGGGACCTGTCCGACCTTCTACTTGATCCCCGTGACCAAAGCGTTGGCTGAGGCCGTGAGGCAGGGAGAGGAACCGAGCTTCGACACTGCTGTGCGAAAGTACGCGCTTCCCATGCTACCTGCAACCGTTTCTGATACCATGCTTTTCAAGAGCCACTGCTTTCATGTTGCACAGTGCTTGGAGGCGTTCAAGCGCTTTGTGTAGACTAGAAAAAAATTAAGTTTGTGATTAAACAACGAGAACTTACAAAAACAGAAAGAGACTCTAGAGTTGCTTGCTCAGGGCGATCTGGGGGGATCCCCGAGTATAAGAAGGTTATCTTCTTCTTGCGTGCCAGTTCAGGATGCACTCACTGCTGCGACTGCGCAGCGGATCCTGGGCTGGCTAACCAGAATCGCCAGAAAACTGATTTCCTGGTAGTTGTACTTGGAGTCAGATGGTTATCATGACTCAATTCTTCTTGGAATAGGCAGTCCCCTTCTTCATAGTAAAACTCTAACCACAAGAGATGAAATACAAGTCTAATTGAAGGAAATCCTTACATTGCATATTAAATCAAGATTGCAAACCACATTAGAAAGTATGCATTGAAAATTTTAACACATACAAAAGTGGGAAGTTATTTTAATTAAATTGTAGACACATACAACAAGTAGGGACAATGAAGATCTTCTTCTAAACAACAAAAGAATTGTCTATAAAAATAACTTTAAAATACAACCTCAGTGTGAATTTCTAGATTTCTACATCAAATCTCATCCCTTAAACATTCATTTTGCATGGTTATTAATGTATTGTGCTTGTGTCTTGGACAATGTTACTTACAAAATCATGATGTTTTTAAAGTTCATTATGTGGTATAAGTAGATGAGATGTTTACATGATAGTTGCTAAAATGTTTTTAATGTGTATATATTTATTCTAAAGTCTAAAAAATACAAGGTGAAACTCTCAAGCACAACAGCCTCTATATATTACTTCCATGTGTCACTTCTCTTGTTGCCACTATTAATACCTCCATGCATTTTCTCCAAGCATTACCTTCATTGCCTCTAAGTCTTACCTTTGTTATTGCCTCCATTGTTGCCACCATACATTTACTCAAAGTGTTTCTAATGTTTCTTTCTATATTACCTTCAAGTGTTTCTATATGTTACCTCCATACAATACCTTTGTAGTGTTGTCTCCCCAGCATTGCCTCACATATGGTCACTCACATTTCGTCCAAGTGTTGTTCCCCTAGTGTTGCCTTCAGTACTTGAACAAAATTGAATCTTCATCGACTTTGTTTTTCATTTTTTCTGCAACTTCCTGCACAAATCAAGCAAGCTGTATAACAATCGAGCAAACACACACCTTTCTTTTTTTGAGAACAAGGTTCAAAGTATTCTTGAGCTGATGTTTCTTATGGCGCTGTGAATTGCAAAATTCTGTGAATCATCAGTTTGAATGCGACTTGTGGCTAGTCCCAAGGGCATGCCTGCCTGAATGGCCTTATATTCAGCCTCTCGTGCCCAATGTAGGGTGTGCACTTGGCTGTCCATGGTGACTTTCACCTGGTTGGCTGAACTCCCTTGTGTGTATTGACACTTTGGTGGAAATCATGAGTAAGACCTCAGGTCAAGCAAGGCTACCTACTAAGTTGAAGCATATCACTAAGCAGAGGAAAAGAAACCAACAAGGATTTCCATAGTAATGGCGAGCAAACTGGAAAATGTCTAGATTGGAAAGTGAGGTGCACATGCACCTTGAGTTGTAGTCTGAAGCATCCTCTGCGGTAGACTGGGCCTAGGTTCCTTGGAATGCAACGCTGGAGACAGTGAGAGCACAGTTCAGTCCAGATCCTATTGCATGATGAGGTGTTGTCGTGGAGTCGGGTTGTTTGGGAATGCAGCCTCAATTGGGTAGTAAATCCCATCCAAGGCTAGATACTGGCAAGAGACAGATAGTAAACAAATAGTGCAAGGGAAAGATGAAAAGGACTTGAAAAGAGAGTTAAAGAGTGCTTGAAATTTCTAGGAGGTGTTATGCCTCATGTTTTAGGCATAAGTCTCTCCCTGCAATACCCTCAGTGAGGGCTTTCCAACAAGCATGTTCTTGAGTTAATCCAACCTTTGAGTATGGAGATTTATTATTTTCACTAATGAGGTTTATTAACTTAGCAAGAACTGTGAAACGACCAAGGCCTGGGGTGAGCTCCCATACATTCTGATGTACCGGAGACACCAACCAAACAAACAATAGGGATTGGGTGGCTCATGTTAAACAATAGTGCTGCCTTCTCTTGGAGCATACATCTCATCAAGGCAGCATTGCCTTCTCCTCATAAACACATGCAACAAGCAAGTGCCATTCTGAATCATTGAGGTTAAAAATGAGATCATTGACGAAATTGACCCCAATGAGTCCATGCTCAACGTCAATGACAGGCCCACAATCTTCTGACATGCTGGAACTTGAGGATCAAACTCAAGAACAAAAGGTCAGTTTGACACTTACGAGGCCCAAATTTTGTTTGGGTAGGGTTCAAGCCCACAAGTTTTGGAACCTCCAGAAGGCAACCACTCATTTTTGTCCACATGCCACACACCATCAACGAGTTATAGTGATTGTAGATCAAGATGGGATAGTATGCCAAGATAAGTTGTTATTAGAGCCATCTCTCATAGTCCTAATCCCTCGTATAGCAATAGAAACATAGCAAGTGATGTGAGTGACAATGATGGGTACATCACAGCTGAAGAAGGGTATTGGAAGACTTTAGAGATGATATTTTTAATCAAGATCATACCCACAACTTAGTGTGCTTTCTAATAATGCATTCTTTAATCTCATCTTTGGCAAACACAACTATCAGTTCCAAGGCTAGGGAGCATGGTGACAAAAGCTTGTAATGGGTGTTTGTCCAATATTACAAATATTCAACAACCTTCATCTAGTTTATTTCTAAAAGTGGAAGATATATAGTTGAAAAGTGTTTAATATGGACAAAATCATAGGCTCTCAAAGGTTCTAAAATATGTCAAACATTCCCATAGCACAAAGGGTTTTGAATAGCAATTTCAAGCTTCTTTTTAAGCCACTTCTTCATTGGGTAGCTTTGTGGGAAGGTAATGGAGTAAGCGCATGTTGATAAAGTTGTGTAGTGGGTTAAATTTATATTGGAGATGTCATAATTAATATAGATTGGTGACTCTAGACAATTCTGGTGAGTCCATGACAAAGTTGTGGAGTAGTGACAACCATTTGGGACTCATCTTTGCCATTGCACATAGTTAGAGCTAATGAATAAGCCAAAACAAACATTATACTTAATCCAATTACCTCCTCAATCCACTGCTTTTGGTTGCCACTAAAACCTAATCCAAAAACCAAGCAGCTAAGGAGTTCTCTCGTGTTGATCACTATTCACACTTGAAATACTTGAAACAGTGCATTTGTCCCAATGCAAGCAAGTGCTCCAATTAAAATGCCACTCATATGCAGCCATTGCCTAGCCTCCATGACCATGAAGTGATGGAATCTAGGTTGTAGTCAATCCCCCATTGCGCTTGGGTCATTGAACAAAACTTTTCAGACCACCGCTGCCACATAATGCTTGATGACCTCTTCATAGTCAGTGTTGATATTCACCAGTCTTGCAGATATAAATGTGTTCAAGTGTGCAATGGCATTGTTATTTTCTAACATGTAATCTATAACCTTGCATCGATCATTTGGGTTTGTGCAAGCTGTTGTCTTACATAGTATATTCAACGCATTCCACACCTCTGGTGTGTAAAACTTCAAGTCTTGCTTATAAACTTCTCCTCAATTGATCCTGTGATCATCCATACTAAAAACCTCTCCAACAATAATTGTAAAGGTGGCAATTGTATAACCCTTCAAATGCTGAAAATAGAAGCCACCCAATGTACATGGCCTAAGGAAAGAAAAAACAACTTTAGTGAAGATGCAATCTAAAAGCGTATACAATATTACCATATCCTTCTCTCTTTAACATAGGTTTCTCAGTTGTGTTAGCTTTTATGGGGATTGACTTTTAGCTATTATTAAGAATGATATTTTGGGGAATCTAAAAGATGGCCTGCCTGATTGCATTTCCACATTTCCACATTTCCATCAATTGTAGTTGTCTCCCAAATCAAAGCTCCTCCAATTACACTACCATAGACCACTTTGAAATTTGGTGTTCAGAGCTCTAGGTTGAATAAAGCTTGAAAACAAATGAATTCATTGTTCGGAGCTATTTGCCATACAAAGCCATTTTATTAGATATTTGTAGGATTGATGTAAATTGTGTAAACAAACTTACCATCACTCGAGAATCTGTCAACCATATTCAGGCTTCACAATATGGACAAAGTATTACTTTATTGATGCATGTTCTAGATTACTGGCAATACAAAGTCTCTACCTATTCAAAAAGTGCTCTCAAATTGTCCACAAGATCCTTATTGTGAATGTAAAGTCCTACAATAAAGTAAAAATTTTATGAATTACAAATCAAAATGTTTAAACATGGCCTACCTTCTCTTATTAAACCAAGACATCACTTCTTGTAAGATTGAGGTAAACACATTTTGCAAACTCCTTTAAAAAAGTTTATGTATGCTCCCATTGCAAAATGCTTCTTTATACCCTATCTCAGCAATTGAAACTTTAGCTAGAACAGCTTTCAAATCTTGCTAGTGAGGCATCATATGAAAATTCAAGACACATGTTGTTTTCATTTGCCAAGCGGGTCGCTTCATTGTATGCATTGACAGCATCCATCTAACAAATTTGGTTGCCAAAGAGACTAGAAATATAAATAGGAAAAAATAAGTACTTGTTGAGTAAATACTATAAAGCTAAATTTCAAGGGCTTATTTAGAAAGAGTTTAATTGTCCAACAACTCTATTAAAGGCAGCAGGTCTTGGCTAGTCTCTGGATCAAAAGGTGATGGTGAGATTGTTTGATTTTCTTCCACAATTAATAAACTATCCTCTACAACCATCAGTCGATCTAAAAAGATATGTCAAAGAATTAGTGCCTCATATACTCTCAAAGCATATTACATACAATAGCTCTGACATATATCTCAAGTGATAATGATGGCTCATAGTGTTATCTAGGCAACTCCTCTTCTTTTGTCAAACTCCTCTTCCACATCCTCTTCATTTTCACCTTCATCTTCCTCTAGTTGATATACATTACCCTCCAAAGCTGAGGACTGTTATCCACTCTAGATGCTAGTGCAACAATCAGTCATAACCAAATGAGCCAATTCAAAAGAGAGGCACATTTTGTCCGTCTGGGGGCACCACATGTATTGCGTGCAAGTAAACATATACCTTGCAGCTGTATACCATGTGTCTTGTCGTGTGACCAGATGTGGGACCAGATGTGCCGAAAAGGTCTCCTAGTAAATTCTGTTTCATGTTTCATCTATTAGATGAAACATGAAACAGAATTTACTAGGAGACCTTTTCAACTTTATGTACCACTAAGACTGATCTATCGAGTACCTCCACCAAGAAAATGAGACTGCATTTTATTTAACTTGCAAGGAGCTGCTTGGCGTGTCTGTAAACCTGCAACGCCAACATTGAAAGGCTGCCAGCCAAGATCAACGCTTTCTGTGATCACACCCAGCGGAATCCATGCTTCCTCTTCAACAGGCCTGCTACAACAGCTGTTAGAGTTTTAGACTGACACGAAGTATTGGGAAGTTAGCATGTACTCAGGGGAATTGGATGGACTTGGACGTGCAAATAACGGACAAAGCTGATGCGAGACGCTTGCAGACCTTTGCAAACTTTCCATCCTCAGGAAGCGCGGTGTTCCATATAAGCGACAAGTTATTTCTTTCTTTCTTTGCAGCTCGATGACAAGGTTGCTAAATGCAGGTTTCTCTTTGCCATAGGGCAGTAACTATGTCTGTCACTCTTGTGGAACAGTGGCATACTATCTTGCTCGATCTTAGAGTAGGACTAAAAGCCCGAAGGAGGCGCCTTTCTTCTGCCCATCATTCTCAGAGTGCTCAAGAACGTGGCTCAACCAAACTGGTTCCTGGATCGATAAGTTTTGTGTGGATGCTCGAGTTGTAGTTCGTTAACTATGACTGCTCCACTTTTGAAAGTTATGCCTGAAGTGAATATCGCAACTTCACTCTCTTTAGGCCTAGGCTGCTTCAGGTGTTGAGGGTACGTAGTTAAACTCCTCTCCAAGATGCTACCATGAGATGCGTCCATCTTACATAGGACAACGAGCAATTGGAGACACCACACTACCCGGCAGCTCCTTTTGGTTTGTGGTTTGCTTTTGCTTCAGTGTTATTAAAATCTTAAAATCACGCATCTGAAAAATCGTCTGTTATTTCTTGAAAGCAGATAGGATGTTTTTACATAGTTTCTATTTTGGAAGTTTTAAAATACGCTGCCAAGAAGGTATAGGACTGCAATGCCAATATTGAAAGGCAACATCCAGGCCAAGATCAAAGTGGAATCCAGGCTTTATGTTCTCTGAAACGACCAATGAATGCTTGGAACGTGTCAGGAAATGGGATGAGCTTCTCAGTGATCGACCGGTTCCTCCGACCCGGCAGGAGCAGCAGTCAGAGAGGCTGGTGGATGACGCTGCAGTTCCCCAGGTAATGCCAAAGACGATGTAGCAAAGCTGCTCGTCGCTCTCGACGCCATTTCGGCGCTCATGGCCACCGCCAAACTTGTTCGCTACCCGGTTCCGCACCACCATTAGGATACACTTCGATGGCTTGACGCTCTCGCAGATAACGCGATTTGTTCGTGGCAACCGCGGCTGTGGACATGTCTGCCAGTGCACGATAAATATCGCTCTTGTCCAAGACCTCGGCAAACGAGCATGCTCGCGAGCCATTGCAGGGGGTGGTGCGGGCATACGGCATTCCACGGGATCGATTTCCTCGCAATTGGCCAGGAATGATCCCCCACGCAAGCACGAGATCAAATTCGATCTGGGGAGGATTCGCTGGTGAAGATCCAATGCCTGGGCAGGGCAGCCATAGCTAGAGCCACAGAGCTCGCACAAAACGATCACTCCAATTGATCTTGGGTTTCTTTCCCGATCGCAGCTCTACCAGATCGACCCAAGAGCCCGCAAGTGCTATGGATTTCCTCAGGGGAATTCATGAAGCTCCACAGGAATTTGATGCAATGCCAAGAAAACCTTTGGTATCTTGGAACACCATGCTTACAGTATATGCCCGTTCAGGGTATTTATCTCAAGCAAGAGCTTTGTTTGATTTAATGCCGAATCGCAACACGGTGTCGTGGAATGCAATGATATCTGCAACCCTTAACCACGGAAACTTTCAAGAAGCCAAGGACTTGTTTGATACAATGCCTTATCAAAACGCTGTGTCGTGTAACATCATGATCGTAGCGTACACCAATGAAGGGCGTCTCGATCTCGCGGAGAAGCTCTTTGATGCGATGCCGAAGAGGAGCTTGTTGTGCTGTAACTCAATGTTAAGAGGTTTCTTGCACTGCGACATGCACGATCGAGCAATATCTCTATTCGAGACAATGCCGCTGAGAGATCTGGTGACTTGGACGACGATGATCCATGGCTGCTCGCAAGAACAGGAGATTCACGCTTTGCTCCACGGCCTCCCAGAGCACGACATCACCTCTGCCAATGCAGCATTGGCCGCTTTCGCCCAAAACGGGCATATGGACTCCGCAAAAGCTCTGCTCGAAAGCATGGAATCTAGAGACTTGGTATCTCTAAACACCATGCTCACAAACGAGCACCACGTCGACGCAGCAAAGCTCGCCTTCGATCGCATGCCCGAGCGAGACGTGATCACTTTCAATGCGATGATCAAACTCCACGCCCAATGTGGAGACACCGAGTCTTCCAAGTCGCTGTTTGATCGCTGTCCAAGCACAAATCTATCGTCGTGGAACTTACTGCTACAAGCCTACGTCCAAAACGGACATATTGACGCAGGGAAGGGAGTGTTTGAAAGTATGCCCGAGCGCAGCCCCGCCTCTCACACGCTCATGGTCCAGGCATATGCCCTGGAAAGGCATATACCAGGCGTGGAATATGCGTGGACCAGCTCACCGTCGAGTGATGTGGTTCTCACGACTGCCGTATGCTTAGCATATGCCCAAGCCGGGCATCTGGAGAAATCGATGGCTGTGTTCCAGAGTATGCCACAGCAGCCAACCGCGGTTGCGTGGACCGCCATGCTCACGAGCCTGGCATATTCTGGGGATCGCGCCCGAGCGCTGTGGCTACTGCACGCCGTGAAGATCCAGGGGATATGCCTGGATGCGGTGGTGTTCAAGAGCGTGCTGATTGCGTGTGTTCATATTGGGGTGCTGCGGCTTGCGATTGAGCAGTTTGTGTCGATGAGCTTTGATTTTGGGCTTGGGCCTGGAAAAGAGCATTACAGGTGCGTGCTCAACATTTTGGCGAGGGTGGGTCAGCTCGAGCTTGCGGAAGATTTGATCGCCAACATGCCGTTTGAGGATGACGCGGTGGATTGGGAGGCATTGCTTGCCGCGTGCGTTGTTCATAACGATCGGCAACGAGGGAAAAGACTTGCTGCGAAGTTTGGAAGAAGAACTACTGTTGCTCATGTTTTGCTAGCGAATTTGTGTTCAACACGGTCTTTACAGTCAACGTGATTGTTTGTATACACATTTCTGATGTTGCTTCTGGAAATCATCGCTCAGATAAAAGGAAATATATTTGTTTCTTTGAAAACAGAATTTCCAGCAAATCGTAGTGAACCTTCTCCAGCTAGTAGCCTCTCTTTCCATCGCAGACTTCATAGATCTGGACAGCTTCTCAAGAGCTGCTGGATACTTTTGCATGAAGGATCCAAAGGACAACCATCGGAGCCCGACGGTGGACGTATCCCTAGTCAACCAAACTCTCTTGGGGAATACCATTAAAATAGAATGCAGATCTCTATGCTATCCATTGCCACCCAAGATCTTTTGATATCACACTTCCCATTGTAAATATTACTCTTTTACTACACATGGTTCAACCACACGCCCAGGCTAGGGGAGAAGGTATGAGCGACGCTTGTCTGTTTGCGCGCCCTAGGAGGGATAAAATGTTGCTTTAGCTCAGCTCCTCCCTTAACCAGCACTGCGCAGCACCAGAGATGGGAGCTGGCACCCCTCGAGCACGAGGATGTCGTGGTACACATGATAGCTTGATAGACCATTGAGAAATGATTTTACTTGCTTGCGCACTGGATAGACGCTGATTGCTGTGCCGAATCGATTTGCAGGTCCTATGGCTCTTCTGTGCCTAGGCCTTTGCCGACTCAGCTCAAAGCCCACTGGTCACAGCACCGCAGATGTGTGTGCTTGCACTGGGTATACAAAGCTTGGCTCGCGATTGGATGCTGGGTAGAGGAAAGGGATTGGCCAGCTCTCTCCTGGATGCCCTGGCAGAAGTGCGTTTCTTCCAACGCTGTATCCGTATGCTGTACTCATATACATCCCCTTTACACTAGGATGGTAAGTTTTTTACTTTCTTTACCTTGGGTGCAGAATTGGGACACTGGCTGGCCAGACTCTGATAATAGGTTTTATCTTTTGCTAATGGTGGGGTTACCCCGTATCCGACGGCGCCGATTGGCCAGATCTGGCGGCCCATAAAGTTCCGCAATCGCTCCTTATAGTACCTTTTATTTTTGTTATGGTTGAATTTTAATTTAATTACAAAAAACGTTGTGGCTGTGCATACCCCGGGCTCAAAACTGTTCTTTTGAGCATAGAGAGGATGGCCACCAACACCCAAGAGTATATCTTTAGATCCAAGCTGCCAGATATCGAGCTTCAGAATCACTTGCCTCTCACAGAGTACCTGTTCCAGCGCCACCAGGGCAAAGCTTCGAGCCGCCCCTGCCTGATCGATGCCGAGGCGGGCAGAGTTCTCAGCTATGGCGACGTGGATCTTCTCGCGCGGCGCGTTGGCGCGGGGCTGTCGCGCCTCGGCATCCGCAAGGGCGACGTCGTCATGCTCCTCCTCCCGAATTGCGTCGAATTCGTGCTCGCGTTCCTTGGCGCGGCGAGAATCGGCGCCACCGTCACCACCGCCAATCCACTGTGCACGGCCAGCGAGATTGAGAAGCAGGCCAGCGGCTCCGGCGCCCGGATGATCGTGACGCAGGCCGCGCAAATCGACAAGCTCGATCGCCTCCTCCACCAGGAAGATCGAGAGCGCGAAATATGTGTAATGCTGGTGAGCGATGGCTTCGATCCCATCAAGGCCGCGGCGAAGAGCGCCGATCGCTCCAATGTGATGTTCTTCGCAAGCGCGCTGCTCCAGGCCGATGAATCCGAGTGCCCGGAGGTGGAGATCGCGGCGGATGTGGACGTCGTGACGCTGCCATTCTCGTCGGGCACCACCTCGCTGCCCAAGGGCGTGGAGCTGACGCACAAGAACCTCATCACTTGTATCGCGCAGCTCGTCGATGGCGAGAACCCTAATCTCTTCCTCCATGGCAACGATCGCATGCTGTGCGTTCTTCCCCTCTTCCACATCTACTGCCTCAGCTGCGTCCTCTTCGCGTCCCTCCGCGCCGGCGCCGCGATCGTGGTCATGCGCAAGTACGAGATCGGCGCCATGCTGGGAGCGATCCAGCGCTTCCAGGTCACGGCGGCGAGCCTGGTGCCACCGATTCTCCTGGCGCTGGCCAAGAATCCCGTCGTCGGCGACTACGATCTCTCCTCGCTGCGATTCATCATGTCCGGGGCCGCGCCGCTGGGCAAGGAGCTGGAGCGAGCCATCGGCGACAAGCTCCCCAGCGCGATCATCGCTCAGGTCAGTCAGGATCCATCGATCGTGAAGATATTTCGATCGATCCATGAATATTTCGATCGATTCGTGGAGGATCCCGGGAGGATCCATGATATTAGAAGAACGAGCTTGTACTGATGGTGTGGTTTTCATCGACAGGGATACGGGATGACCGAAGCCGGCCCTCTCATCTCGATGAGCCTGGCCTTCGCCAAGACGCCATTCGCGATCAAGTCGGGCTCTTGCGGCACGATCGTACGCAACACCGAGGCCAAGATCGTGGACACCGAGACGGGCGAGTCGCTGGCGTATGGCGTGTGTGGCGAGATTTGCCTCCGCGGTCCCCAGATCATGAAGGGCTACCTCCGCAATGTGGAAGCCACCATGGCGACCATCGACAAGGAGGGATGGCTCCACACCGGCGACGTGGGATTCATCGACCGCGACGAGGAGCTCTTCATTGTGGATCGTGTCAAGGAGCTCATCAAGTTCAAGGGGTTCCAGGTAGAAAGAGAAGAGTTTGCTAATGAAAACTTTGGCATTCTTCGTGCATCCAGGTTGCGCCAGCGGAGATCGAAGCGCTCTTGGTCTCGCATCCACGGATCTGTGATGCTGCAGTCGTGGGGTATGTACGATTTTCTCGAAGATTATCTTCTCTGATGATGGATGGATGTTCCAGCAAGAGCGACGAAGTGGCTGGGGAGTTGCCGGTCGCGTTCGTGGTGCGAAGCCCCGGCATTTTGCGCGTCTCGGAGGACGACGTCAAGCAATTCATTGCGAAACAGGTGAGGCGCCGCAATTTCAACATCCGTTCTTTTCCTGGGTCAGCTCATTGAAAGCTTGTCTCGAAACAGGTCGTGTTCTACAAAAGGTTACACTCGGTCATCTTCGTGGACTCCATCCCCAAATCCGCCGCTGGAAAGATTCTGCGGAAGGTCCTCAAGAGCGTGCTCTCGACAAACTAGTTTAACATCAAGCCATGGATCGCCAGCTTTTGACTTTGCGCGGAACCAGCTCGAGCCTTTGACGTATGTTCCATTATACGAGGCTATGGTGGGCGATGAAACAATTGACTTCACAGTGTAGGTGGCCCCTCTCCAGCAGTCAGTCCCTCACCCTATATATTGTATAACTCTCCAATCACTTCAATCAAACAAGAGCCCAGGAAGAACCTACTCACACAGCTTGTTGTGCTGCAACTCAATGTTGCGTGGTTTCTTGCACTGCGACGTGCACGATCGAGCAAGATCTCTATTCGAGACAAAGCCGCTGAGAGATCTGGTGACTTGGACGACGATGATCCATGCCTTCTTAGCAAGAACAGGAGATTCACGCTTTGCTCTAGCACGACATCACCTCTGCCAATGCAGCATTGGCCGCTTTCGCCCAAAACGGGCATATGGACTCCGCAAAAGCTCTGCTCGAAAAGCATGGAATCTAGAGACTTGGTACCTCTATGCTCACAAACGAGCACCAGGTCGAGGAAGCAAAGGTCTCCTTCGACCGCGATGATCGCCAATGTGGAGACACCGAGTCTTCCAAGTCGCTGTTTGATTGCTGTCCAGGCACAAATCTATCGTCGTGGAACTTACTGCTACAAGCCTACGTCCAAAACGGGCATATTGACGCAGCCGAGGGAGTGTTTGAGAGTATGCCCGAGCACAGCCCCACCTCTCACAAGCTCATGGTCCACCCTGGAAGGGCATATACCAGGCGTGGAATATGCGTGGGCGAGCTCACCGTCGAGTGATGTGGTTCTCACGACTGCCGTGTGCGTAGCATATGCCCAAGCTGGGCATCCGGAGAGATCGATGGCTGTGTTCAAGAGTATGCCACAGCAGCCAACCGCGGCCGCCATGCTCACGAGCCTGGCATATTCTGGGGACGCCGTGAAGATCCAGGGGATATGCCATGATGCGGTGGTGTTCAAGAGCGTGCTGATTGCGTGTGTTCATATCGGGGTGCTGCGGCTTGCGATTGAGCAGTTTGTGTCGATGAGCTTTGATTTTGGGCTTGGGCCTGGAAAAGAGCATTACAGGTGCGTGCTCAACATTTTGGCGAGGGTGGGTCAGCTCGAGCTTGCGGAAGATTTGATCGCCAACATGCCGTTTGAGGATGACATGGTGGATTGGGAGGCATTGCTTGCCGCGTGCGTTGTTCATAACGATCGGCAACGAGGGAAAAGACTTGCTGCGACGTTTCGAAGAAGAACTACTGTTGCTCATGTTTTGCTAGCGCAACACGGTTTTTACAGTCAACGTGATCAGTGTTTGTCTGGTTTTGATGTTGCTTGTGGAAATTATCGCTCAGTGACAAAAACAACGAGACAATAGAATAGAAAACAAGGATTCAATAGTTACAAATCAACAATGTTTCACACGATATAACATGGTTGAATTTCCATTTAATTACCAAAAACGTAGTCTTCGCACCATACCAAACATTGCGGCTGGGGCTCAAAACTGTCCTTTTGGCCACCCTGTCCGTACATAGACTATAAAGTTATGTTCTTCTCTTGGAATCTCATAAGCAACATTGTTTTCTCTCACAGAAGGATGGCCACCAACACCCAAGAGTATATCTTTAGATCCAAGCTGCCAGATATCGAGCTTGAGAATCACTTGCCTCTCACGGAGTACTTGTTCCAGCGCCATCAGGGCAAAGCTTCGAGCCGCCCCTGCCTGATCGATGCCGAGGCGGGCAGAGTTCTCAGCTATGGCGACGTGGATCTTCTCGCGCGGCGCGTTGGCGCGGGGCTGTCGCGCCTCGGCATCCGCAAGGGCGACGTCGTCATGCTCCTCCTCCCGAATTGCATCGAATTCGTGCTCGCGTTCCTTGGCGCGGCGAGAATCGGCGCCACCGTCACCACCGCCAATCCACTGTGCACGGCCAGCGAGATTGAGAAGCAGGCCAGCGGCTCCGGTGCCCGGATGATCGTGACGCAGGCTGCGCAGATCGACAAGCTCGATCGCCTCCTCCACCAGGATGATCAAGAGCGCGAAATATGTGTAATGCTGGTGAGCGATGGCTTCGATCCCATCAAGGCCGCGGCGAAGAGCGCCGATCGCTCCAATGTGATGTTCTTCGCAAGCGCGCTGCTCCAGGCCGATGAATCCGAGTGCCCGGAGGTGGAGATCGCGGCGGATGTGGACGTCGTGACGCTGCCATTCTCGTCGGGCACCACCTCGCTGCCCAAGGGCGTGGAGCTGACGCACAAGAATCTCATCACTTGTATCGCGCAGCTCGTCGATGGGGAGAACCCTAATCTCTTCCTCCATGGCAACGATCGCATGCTGTGCGTTCTTCCCCTCTTCCACATCTACTGCCTCAGCTGCGTCCTCTTCGCGTCCCTCCGCGCCGGCGCCGCGATCGTGGTCATGCGCAAGTACGAGATCGGCGCCATGCTGGGAGCGATCCAGCGGTTCCAGGTCACGGCGGCGTGCCTGGTGCCACCGATTCTCCTGGCCCTGGCCAAGAATCCCGTCGTCGGCGACTACGATCTCTCCTCGCTGCGATTCATCATGTCCGGGGCCGCGCCGCTGGGCAAGGAGCTGGAGCGAGCCATCGGCGACAAGCTCCACGGCGCGATCATCGCTCAGGTCAGTCGGGATCAATCGATCGCGAAGATATTTCGATCAATTCGTGGAAGATCCATGATATTTCGATCGATTCGTGGAGGATCCCGATCGATTCTTGGAGGATCCATGATATTTCGATTCTTGCAAGAACGAGCTTGTACTGATGGTGTGATTTTCATCGACAGGGATACGGGATGACCGAAGCCGGCCCTCTCATCTCGATGAGCCTGGCCTTCGCCAAGACGCCATTCGCGATCAAGTCGGGCTCTTGCGGCACGATCGTACGCAACACCGAGGCCAAGATCGTGGACACCGAGACGGGCGAGTCGCTGGCGTATGGCGTGTGTGGCGAGATTTGCCTCCGCGGTCCCCAGATCATGAAGGGCTACCTCCGCAATGTGGAAGCCACCATGGCGACCATCGACAAGGAGGGATGGCTCCACACCGGCGACGTGGGATTCATCGACTGCGACGAGGAGCTCTTCATTGTGGATCGTGTCAAGGAGCTCATCAAGTTCAAGGGGTTCCAGGTAGAAAGAGAAAAGTTTGCTAATGAAAACTTTGGCATTCTTCGTGCATCCAGGTTGCGCCAGCGGAGATCGAAGCGCTCTTGGTCTCGCATCCACGGATCTGTGATGCTGCAGTCGTGGGGTATGTACGATTTTCTCGAAGATTATCTTCTCTGATGATGGATGGATGTTCCAGCAAGAGCGACGAAGTGGCTGGGGAGTTGCCGGTCGCGTTCGTGGTGCGAAGCCCCGGCATTTTGCGCGTCTCGGAGGACGACGTCAAGCAATTCATTGCGAAACAGGTGAGGAGCCGCAATTTTCAACATCCGTTCTTTTCCCGGGTCAGCTCATTGAAAGTTTCTTTTTGTCTTGAAACAGGTTGTGTTCTACAAAAGGTTACACTCGGTCATCTTCGTGGACTCCATCCCCAAATCCGCCGCTGGAAAGATTCTGCGGAAGGTCCTCAAGAGCGTGCTCTCGACAAACTAGTTTAACATCAAGCCATGGATCGCCAGCTTTTGACTTTGCGCGGAACCAGCTCGAGCTTTTGACATATGTTCCATTATACGAGGCTATGGTGGGCGATGAAACAATTGACTTCACAGTGTAGGTGGCCCCTCTCCAGCAGTCAGTCCCTCACCCTATATATTGTATAACTCTCCAATCACTTCAATCAAACAAGAGCCCAGGAAGAACCTACTCACACAGCTTGTTGTGCTGCAACTCAATGTTGCGTGGTTTCTTGCACTGCGACGTGCACGATCGAGCAAGGAGACAAAGCCGCTGAGAGATCTGGTGACTTGGACGACGATGATCCATGCCTTCTTAGCAAGAACAGGAGATTCACGCTTTGCTCTAGCACGACATCACCTCTGCCAATGCAGCATTGGCCGCTTTCGCCCAAAACGGGCATATGGACTCCGCAAAAGCTCTGCTCGAAAAGCATGGAATCTAGAGACTTGGTATCTCTATGCTCACAAACAAGCACCAGGTCGAGGAAGCAAAGGTCTCCTTCGACCGCGATGATCGCCAATGTGGAGACACCGAGTCTTCCAAGTCGCTGTTTGATTGCTGTCCAGGCACAAATCTATCGTCGTGGAACTCACTGCTACAAGCCTACGTCCAAAACGGGCATATTGACGCAGCCGAGGGAGTGTTTGAGAGTATGCCCGAGCACAGCCCCACCTCTCACAAGCTCATGGTCCACCCTGGAAAGGCATATATCAGGCGTGGAATATGCGTGGGCGAGCTCACCGTCGAGTGATGTCCGTGTGCGTAGCATATGCCCAAGCTGGGCATCCGGAGAGATCGATCCAGGGGATATGCCTGGATGCGGTGGTGTTCAAGAGCGTGCTGCTTGCGTGTGTTCATATCGGGGTGCTGCGGCTTGCGATTGAGCAGTTTGTGTCGATGAGCTTTGATTTTGGGCTTGGGGGAAAAGAGCATTACAGGTGCGTGCTCAACATTTTGGCGAGGGTGGGTCAGCTCGAGCTTGCGGAAGATTTGATCGCCAACATGCCGTTTGAGGATGACATGGTGGATTGGGAGGCATTGCTTGCCGCGTGCGTTGTTCATAACGATCGGCAACGAGGGAAAAGACTTGCTGCGACGTTTCGAAGAAGAACTACTGTTGCTCATGTTTTGCTAGCGCAACACGGTTTTTACAGTCAACGTGATCAGTGTTTGTCTGGTTTTGATGTTGCTTGTGGAAATTATCGCTCAGTGACAAAAACAACGAGACAATAGAATAGAAAACAAGGATTCAATAGTTACAAATCAACAATGTTTCACACGATATAACATGGTTGAATTTCCATTTAATTACCAAAAACGTAGTCTTCGCACCATACCAAACATTGCGGCTGGGGCTCAAAACTGTCCTTTTGGCCACCCTGTCCGTACATAGACTATAAAGCTATGTTCTTCTCTTGGAATCTCATAAGCAATATTGTTTTCTCTCACAGAAGGATGGCCACCAACACCCAAGAGTATATCTTTAGATCCAAGCTGCCAGATATCGAGCTTCAGAATCACTTGCCTCTCACGGAGTACTTGTTCCAGCGCCATCAGGGCAAAGCTTCGAGCCGCCCCTGCCTGATCGATGCCGAGGCGGGCAG